AGACACCCAGACATTGCGTCTTCTCCACTGGTGGCGCTCTTTTTAGTAAAGAGGCAGCGCCAATGAGAAGTGTATAGTAGAAGTGCATCTCCGCCCACGCGACCAGAGTGGGCTGTGCTTCTGAACTGCCCCTGAAGCATGCGTTAGAACGCCAATATCTCACCTTAAATTTGTTTTAAAAAATAGAGGCTTTTACTCACCCGAGCTGTCAACATCAGATATCTGGTAGATGACTGCGAACCTGCGGAATCGTTGTGGACTTTTGGAGGGAGATGAGCGATTACATTTAGCCCTCTCAAAGGTCCGCACAAAGAACTGCAACGTATAGGTATTTTCACCCAAAAAGGTGCACAGTTTCTCTTTCCTGCTTGGGACAATCTTCAGGGACACCGTTGTAGACCGTAGAGACAGCGTTGCTGGTGCAGCCCGGCTTGGTGGGTGCAGAAAGTGGAATTCAGCAAAACATGAGTAGGCTACCTTATAAAAGCCTAAGGCCGAGGAAGGCAGAGTGGCACATGGAAGAGCGGGAACAGGCCTTTTTCGGGCGTAAGGTCCCAAACAAGCTCCCTAACCAAACTGAGGGTCTTGCCGTTCGCAGAAAATGGTCATGCGGGAAGCTCTGGCTCTGCCCCGACCAGTAAAATGTAAATTCCGCAATAGTCGGATGGGCGGAGAAATAAGTGAGGGGACCCACCACCCTACTCTTTACAGCACGGGAAGGGGCGCGCATAAGAAAGGCACAGTAAGTCCACGCCCATCCCTCCGATCTACGCGAAATGCGTTTCCAACAACTACGGCAATACCTTTAAAAATTGTCCTGAGCAGGAATAAAAAAAAGTGAAAACCTACCTATGACTGCCCGTGGCGTGAGCAAGATATTCAGACCAGTGTTCAGTCCTACGCATACAAATTTCACTTGATCCAGCACCTCTACTGAACACACCGAATGAGGCACTACAAAATGGAAAGGAGACTGTCGTCGAACCATTGGGAGGCGTATTGTACAGTTCGTGGCACTGAAAAAGATAGCAAATATGGAACTGCTTCGCAACTTCATTTCAGGAGGTGCCAGACACGGCACCCGACATGTCCTTATTGAACATTCTTGCAAAATACGACTCCCCCAAGTTTCCTGCTCTGGTACGACCCCCTTACCCGTTCTACCTACTGACTTCCTAGATTTTTCCCAACTTTCTACCTCTCCATTAAAGAAGATCTCCAAATTTTTTTCCAAAATTTTACCTCAGGAGTGGCGTGAAACGGAAAAATAACTAGAAAAGCCAGCACCTGAAAACATTTCTCACACAGGCAAACACGAACCCCTCCTCCACCGACCAAACACGACCCCCCCCCTCGCTGGCATCCTCAACATGCGACGTCCTCTGGTGGGACAGCAAAAGAAACGGTGAAGAAGATGGGTGAAGACTGGAGGTTGAACAGCGTCTAGTTCTGGCGAAGTCCTAACAGACGGCGGCGGCAGCACGACACAACACAGACGCTTCTCTTCCTTATACCTTCTCTGTTAAACGAAACTCTTCACAGAAACGCCGCCTCCTCCGTAGAACTGACTTCGTGAGCACGCCCTCTTTAGATGCGCTGGTATGGACTGTATGGCCTCAGGCAGACGCTTTCGTGTGTGCTCGAAGAGACAGGTGTCGAGCGTTACTCCCCAGTCGCGGCGGGACAGGCGTTGCAAGTGGGGTGACGTACGCAACATCCGCACCAGGACTCAACCTACTCAACATGGCAGCGGTGCTGCGCTTCAACTCTACCCCTTGTACTGTACGGCGATGTCGCTAATTGGGAAGTAACGCACTTCAAAAAGCATGCAGTTACAAAGTAGTGGACTTTAAGAGAAGAAAGGGGTACGTGATCCAGTTCAAGAGAAGAAAAGGGTACGTGATAGTTGAACAATCAGTAAAGAAAAATGCAAGGTCGAAAACGCCTTGAATAAGACTTCTGTGGACCAAAGACCCAACGAAGAGACAATGAGCGTGCAGAAGGGAAATTGGAGACGCAGCAGCCGCAAAACCCCTCCAATTGCAAATCGCGCCACACTGTACAAGGAAGGGAATCCGCACACCAAATAATCACCGAGTGAGCCTTTTAGGGTACTTGAGGACTCGGTGAGGACCAAGTTAGCACTACCTTTCTGATTGCGTCGATATACGTTTGGTTGTGGACGTAGAGAATCTGCATTTTCCAATCGATATTTCGTAGGCCTTCAGGTAAAATAGCGCCTTCTTCATTCCATTCATTCAGAACACATGCATCTTTGGAAAAGCCTGAATAAATCGCTTGAGATAAAGAAGAGCTCAGGCTACCTGTTGAAAGCAGTCCACCGTATCCGCTCTCGATTCACAAAAACCACATATATCCCCGGAGGTGGGGAGGGCGTGGCTGCGTACTACATTTGGATTTGGCGGGGCCACGCTTATGGAGAGATATTGCCGCTTGGGCACATTTATAATAAGGTCTTTGTCCAGCAAGCGACAGGATGGCAGGTGCCTAAACGGAAATATGCCATGAAAAAACGCATCCCAAGCTATGTTTGAGCGACGTGTGTAGCCACGCCTTCTCCATTACTGGGATATGGAGAATAATTGTAAAGCATAAGTATGCGCGAATTCAAGACAGAAGCTACCGCGTAAGTAACGGGGCACAATAGGAGCTAAAAACCACAGGCCATTTTCTGGAATGGGCGAAGACACCAAGCCACTGTGCCTTCTTCTTTAGCGAAACCCTCCTCCCTACTGCATCAGAAGCAGGGGCAACAGTATAACAAGCAGATGGCTGTCTCCGCCTATATGATCAATGTGGACTGTGCTTTTGAACCGGAACGAGATGTCTTCTCTCGGTCTGCAATAGCAGCACAACGCTAAAAACTACAGTCCTCGTCTTTGGTATGGGAGGAGACACCCACCCTTTGTGTCTCCCTCATTGGCAAACCCCTGCTCTCTAATGCAGCAAAGCAGAACGAGCACAACAAGCAAAATGGTTGGTGTCTCCGTCCCACGCCAAAAGTGAAGGCCAAATATGAAGAGGCTTGTTCTCATAGTGACAGAATAAAAAAATATGCAAAATAATAAGATGTGACGAGTTTTGGTTACCGTACGAGTTTCGCCTGAACTCATGATCCCTGCTAACGAAACGGCGTGTGAAGGGGCGTTGATTGGACCACAGTCATGATGGTCTTTTCCACCAATAATGCCATTCTGAGTCTGCAGCAACTGGTTGGGAATGGGTGACCTGGCTGCGCTCCAATCCATGCCCCCTCATACCCCTTTTTAGTTGCAGGAGCCTGAGTGTGTCTAACCGATTGCTACCTCAAGTTATTTCTAATTTTGACATGAATAAAAAAAAGCAAATCAAAACAGCGTAAGGCCTTCACCCACCACTTTCAGAATTTGGGCAGGCTGCATCATGTGAAAGAGGTTTGTCTGTGCTTATGTTATACGCCTCATAGGTTATGATACCAGCCAAACAGTCCGATTCCAGAATGACTCTCACGGTAGAACTGAAATATGCGATTTTCAGAAGGAGAAGTGGGTCTCAGTAGGCAGCGCAGGACTTTAGACTGGTTTTACCGCATGATGTAAGGAAATATAAGCCTTCCCAGAGTCGTAAGAAGGAGCCCTGAGCTAGGCAGACTAGAAGGCTCGATTCCACTCACACGACAACTGCGGATTTCAACTTCATGGGTTCATTCCACACTTATCGCATGGGCGGAGGTCAGTCGGACCACGGCGTCCTCTCGTTGCCGCGACTTACACGCGGATCGATTGAGAAGTCTACAGCGTGATCGGGAAGCACAATTGCTCAAGTGGCTCCGCCTATATGTTCAGCTTGGAATGTGTCTTTAAGTCCTCGTTGCACTCACCGATCTATCATATCCACAGGCATGAACATATGAAACTTCCCCGAATAGCCTTCAAATCGACTTTGCCAGCATTCACGCAGTCCTGACAGATCTCCATCCTCCACTATTACTACCACACCGCGTGAATCCTCTACTGTGCCTGAAAATCACCCATTTATACTCCTAATGGGGGACAAAAACTGTTCATGAATCACAATTCATATCGTAATTGCTGAGAGGTTGACGCTGGAACAAAATCTGAAAACTTACTATCAAATCCGAATTGATGAGTTCCATTGAACAGGCGGTAACCAGCTTCTCCTTCCACTACATTGAGGGGTGAGATAGAAATCTTTCGCGATGCTATCCCCACGACATAGCACGAATACTGCAAAATGCACAATGAACACGGATCTACCACTTCCATTTGAGCCATTTGTACACTATTTAGTAATCGCAACTCAAATCATTCTAGAGGGCATGGATGGTTCCAAAGACGCCAAGTTTGCACTAAGGCTGAATGGGCGGAGCGGGCCTACCGTTGTAGGATGCGGATTTTTAGTTCTATGTTGGGGTGACAGATGCGAACTGGCAGAAAATTCCCTAGCTGGTTAGGTTGACACGCAATGCCACCTTGGATAGATCGGGTCCTGCAGTGATGACGGGTGTGCGGCGATTGTACAGATGGTGGCCAGCGGTGGTGCGCGTTCTGCTGAATAGCTTGCACAAATTTCAAAGGCATTACCTTGGAGGATACCCGTGAATTAGAACAAATCCCTTGCTTCAAATGACAGCTGAAATGTGAGATACGGTGGAGCCAGTCCGATATTGCCGCATAGACTCACCGCGCGACGTGAGCGGTGCGACCTCGTTAGCCCACCGTAGAATCGCCCACCTCCCCCGACCAATTTGGCTTCCTGACTAGCATCCCTCCCATCTCGTCGTTTCGTAAAGAGAGGCGCCAATGAGGGTGCCACAATGATAGGCCTGACTCCGCCCATACGACCAGCATCGACTTATCAACTTTAACGATTCCCCATATCGGGTTGCGCCAAATAATATACACCGAGGGAGCCGCATGATTCATAATCGCCACGCTCCCTCATGCATCCGCCGCAAACACCACACCACTTGTAACGCAGCTTCTGTCGCACCGGAGAGGTGGGCGATCCTATCGTCACTCACGTCGCGAGCGACGAGTCGCGCGGCACAGTCCGAGTTGCACTACCGTATCCAGTTGCCAGTTGTCGTTGGAGCATGTGATTTTCTCCTGTTCAAGGCGCATTCTTCAGAGTAGCAATGGGATGGATCCGTACCATTCATCAAGACATGGGACAACACAACTCGTACGCAAAGGCTGCGGCGGGGCAGGCCACTCCCACCACGGCGGCGGCCCACGATAGAATCGTCACGTACCTGCCGCATCGGAACAAAGAGTCAGATCTCCTGAGCCGATCTCACTGCTCAATGACTGCTCGAAGCAAGCATTCAACGTCTTCTTTTCCCACACCGCATTACGCTACGGACTGAGGCATGAGCAAGCTATGGAAACTCTGCACATGAAACCGAGCAAACCCTAATCTTGCCTTGAAAACCTTTAGGAAACAGGATACAGTTCTGCAACTGGCTAGAAACCCTTGCTGTCCGAACCAAGGCAAGCCAAAGTTTCAGAAGCTCAGATCAATGAGAAGTTCATTAAAACTGCACTTACTACTGCACACCAATATGATATGGGCCAACTGCATGACTGCTGAATACCAGCTTTCAGAACATCTTTGAATGAAATGAGTATCACCACCCTTTCTCGAAACTGTGAAGTCAGTTTCATAAACATAAGATAACGATCTGATACGGTGAGATAAGAATCAGCTGACTTTGAAGTCCTCTCTTTCCGTTTTCATTTGAGAGATACATTTCGTGACTACTCCATGGAGGACGGACAAGACAGTCGTGATTTATCGCGTCGTCGCGCGCGGCGCATCGTGCGGCGGTGAATGGTAGATTCTCGAAGTGCATCAGTTAGCCGACTGGAGCAGCGAAATTGATGTCAACGGAAGCGAGAAAGACTCTACACCCACTAATACCAATCTTTCCTGTCCTTTCAAGGTTCACATTCCCACGGGAGAGCAGAACAACTCGCGCGGCGTCACACGCTTGACCAGCGCGGAATTACATACCCCACGGGCAGAATCTCTCTCTAGGACATGTAGTCCGGTCCGCAGTCTCAAAGACTGTTCCATTTGCAGCTCGACAATGAGTGACGAGGGCGGGCGCTGTGACATTCATTAGGCGAAGGAACGCCATCCGTGGGAACGTGCTTCTCCCATCTGGGGACGAGGTATGCCAGGGTCCAATGCTTTCAAACTAGCTGTGATGCGCTTGCCTTCATTCCGTGAGACTAACCTGTGACTCATCCCGTGTTCCTGTTCCTTAATCTCTGGTCTCCCACCCGAACAGCACTATCAGGCATGATGAGTTCATCCGCGGCGTTTTCACCCTAGTTG